GTTCACTGTTTACCTTCCCGGTACTTCTTGCGGAGCCGCCGGTGGACGCTCTTCACCACCCCGGACAGCTTCTCCTGCTCCAGCTTCCGTTCCTGTACCCGGAGCGGAGGAATGCTCAGGGGTCCAGCGCCGTGTCCGCGAACAGCGCTTCGGCCGCCCACCCCAAGCTCCATATCGCCGCCGCCAGTCCCCGGACCAGCGAAGAAGTCGGCCAGACGAAGGAGGTGGGGAAGAAGGCAGCAGCGGAAGGAGGCAGCACAGCTCCAGCCCCAGCTCCAGTACCGGCCTGAGTGGGAAAGGCTTACCCAAACGCACAAAGCTGATAGGTGGACTACGGAGAGCTGATGGAAACTGAAAAGGCCGAAGGCCAATACGGAGGGCGCCCTGGGCCGAGGCGCACTCGGTTGTTAAGGTAGGGGAGCAGCTGAAGGAGGCGGGGCTGACAAACTAAGAGCTGAGAGAAGGTGAGAGCAGTAAACCACACTGCTCCTCTGCTCGCCCCGCCCTTCCCCTGATTTTGTGCGCACGCGCCGTGATGAGGCTGAGGGAAACGGCTGTGGGCCACGCGCTTGCGCGTCTGAGTTTGCTTAGTTTGGGCAACATTCTGACTTCTAGTTTTTCACGTCTTTCAGCCTGACCCCCTCCTGTCAGTTATATTATGCTGTGATGAGGCTAGGGTCCTCTGAGTCCACGCCGTACCTTGTCACTGGCTTTTGATATGGCTTAGCAGCACTGGAATTTTACTTTTTTAAAAAAATTTATTTTTGTTGGAAGTATTACAGATGACCCCCTTTTTTCCCCATTGATTCCCTCCACCCTCGCATCCACCCCACCCCCAGCCTTTCCCATACCAATGTCTGTGTCCATAGGTAATACATATAAGCATATAAATTCTTGGATTAATCTCTCCCCTCCACCGCCTTCCCCCTGAAATCCCTCAGTCTGTTCCATGCTTCTATGTCTCTGGATCTATTTTGTTCATCAATTTATTGTATTCATTAGATTCCACAAATGAGTGAGATTATGTGATACCTGTCCTTCTCTGACTGGTTTAATTCACTTAGCATAATACTCTCCAGTTGCATCCATGCTGTCCCAAAGGGTAAGAGATCCTTCTTTTTTACAGCTGCATAGTATTCCATGGTGTAAACGTACCACAGCTTTTTTATCCACTCATCTACTGAAAGGCACTTGGGCTATTTCCAGATCTTAGCTATTGTAAATTGCGCTGCTGTGAACATAGGAGTGCATATATTCTTTCTGATTAGTGTTTCAGGATTCTTAGAATATATTCCTAGCAGTGGGATCACTCGGTCAAAAGGCAGTTCAATTTTTAATCTTTGAGGAAACTCCATACTGTTTCCCACGGTGGCTACTCCAGGCTGCATTCCCACCAGCAGTGTACCTTATCTCCACATCCTCACCAGCACCTATCATTTGATGATTTGTTGATGGTAGCTATTCTGACAGTGTGTGAAGTGATACCTCACTGTGGTTTTAATTTGCATCTCTCTGATGATTAGTGTATTTGAGAATTTTTTCATATGTCTTGGCCATCTGTATGTCCTCTTTGGAGAAGTGCCTGGGTCCCCTGCACATTTTTTAATTGGATTGTTTGTCTTTGTTTTGTTAAGTTGTATGAGTTCCTTATATATTTTGGATATTACCCTTTATCAGATGTGTCATTGGCAAATCTGTTCTCCCACACACTGGGCTCCCCTTTCATTTTGCTGATGTTTCTTTTGCTGTGGAGAAGCTTGTTATTTTAATGTAGTCCCATTTGTTTATTTTCCCTTTTGTTTCTCTTGCCCAGGGAGATGTATTGGCAAACATGTTGGTACGAGAGATGTCTGAGATTAGGCTGCCTACGTTTTCCTCTAGGATTTTTATGGTTTCACATCTTACATTTAGTATTTTACCCGTTTTGAGTTTATATTTGTGTATGCTGTAAGTTGGTGGTCTAGTTCCATTTTTTTTAATGTACCTGTCCAATTTTCCTAACACCATGTATGGACAAGACGATCTTGACTCCATTGTATGTTCTTACCTCTTTTGTCAAATACTAACTGAGAGTAAAGGCTTGGGTCGATTTCTGGTTTCTCTGTTCTGTTCCACTAATCTATGTCTGTTCTTGTGCCAGTACCAGCCTATTTTGATTACAGTGGCTTTGTAGTATAAATCGATACCTGGTATTGTGATCCCTCAAACTTTGTTCTTCTTTCTCAAGATTGCTGGGGTTATTCTGGGTCCTTTTTGGTTCCATATAAATTTTCGAAATATTTGTTCTAGATCTGTGAAATGTGCCGACATTTTAATAGGGATTGCATTAAATTTATAGATTGCTTTGGATAGTATGAATGTTTTAATGATGTTAAATCTTCTAATCCAGGAAGATGGTACATTCTTCCACTTGTTTATATCTTCCTCTATCTCATTTTGCAACATCCTGTAGTTTTCTGAGTACAGGTCTTTTACCTCCTTGGTTAAGTTTATTCCTAGGTATCTTAATTTTTTTGTTAGAATGGTAAATGGGATTTTTTTTTTTAGGTTCTCTTTCTGAGAATACATTATTGGTTTATAAAAATGCCGTCGATTACTGTATGTTAATTTTGTATCCAGCTACCTTGCTGAATTCATTTATAAAAGCTAGTAGTTTTTTGGTAGAGTCTTTAGGATTTTCTATGTACAATATCATGTCATCTGCAAATAATGACAATTTTACTTCCTCCTTTGGCTTTTATGTTTTCTTCTTGTCTGATCGCTGTGGCTAGGACCTGCAGTACTATGTTAAATAAGAGTGGTAAAAGTGGACACCCATGTCTTGTTCCTGTTCTTAGAAGGTTTTAGTTTTTGCCCATTGAGTATAATGGCTGTAGGTTTGTAATATATGGCTTTCATTTTGTTGAGGTATGATCCCTCTGTTCCAACTTTGTTGAGAGTTTTTATCAAAACTGGGTGTTGGATTTTGTCAAATACTTTTTCCCCATCTATTGATGTGATCTTTGTCTTTCAATTTGTTTATGTGATATATCACTTTTATGGATTTGTGAATATTTTATCAGCCTTGCATCCCTGGAATAAATCCTGTTTGGTCATGGTGTATGTTCTTTTTAATATATTGCTGAATCCAATTTGCTAATATTTTGTTGAGGATTTTAGCATCTATGTTCATCAGGGATATTGGCCTGTAATTCTCTTTCTTGTAGTGTCTTTATCTGGTTTTGGAGTAAGACTTAACTGGCTTTGTAAAATGAGCCTGGAAGAATTCCTTCTTATTCAATTTTTTGGAATAGTTTGAGGAGGCTAAGTGTTACTTCTTCTTTGAATGTTTGGTAAAACTCCTGTGAAGCCTTCCCAAATCAGGGCTTTTGTGTCCTGGGAGTTTTTTGTACTGCTTCAACTTCATTAGTAGTTATCAGCCTATTCAGGTTTTCTGACTCTTCCTGACTAAGTTTTGGAAGGTTGTGTTTTTATAGGAATTTGTCTATTTCATCCAGATTGTCCAGCTTGGTGGCATATAGTTGTTCAAAGTATTTTCTTACAATCCTTTGTATTTCTGTTGGGTCACTTGTTACTTCACCTCTTTCATTTCTGATTTTATTTGTTTGGGTCCTCTCTCTTGGTTTCTTGATGAGTCTGGTTAAAGGTTCATCAATCTTGTTTATCATTTCGAAGAACCAGCTCTTGGTTTCATTGATCTTTTGTACTGTTTTTTAATGTCATTTATTTCTTCTCTGATCTTTATTATTTCCTTCCTTCTACTTACTCTGGGCTCTCTTTGTTTTCTCTTTCTAAGTCTTTAAGTTGTAAGTTTAGAGAATCTACTAGAAGTTTTTCTTGTTTTTTGAGTAGTGCTGTGAACTTCTCACACAGGACTGCTTTCATTGTGTTGCATAGATTTGTGATTTTTGTGTTTATGTTCATTTATTTCCAGGAAGTTTTTTATTTCTTCCTTGATCTCTTTGGTAACCCATTCATTGTTTAATAACATGCTTTTTAGCCTCCATGTATTTGAATGTTTTTTAGTGTTTTTATTGTACTTGATTTCTAATTTCATGCCATTCTGTCCGAGAAGATGCTTGATATGATTTCAATCTTCTTGAACTTTTAAAGACTTGATTTGTGTCCTAACATGTGATCTATCTTGGAGAACGTCTCACATGCACTTGATAAGGCTGTATATTCTGCAGCTTTGTAGTGGAATGTTCTGTTAATATCAATTAAATCTATCTGACCTAGTTTGTCATTTATGGTCACTGTTACCTTGTTTATTTTTTGTCTAGAAGATCTATCCAGTGAAGTCAGTGGAGTGATGAAGTTCCCTAGTATGACTGTTTTGCTGTCTATCTCTCCCTTAAAATCCTCCAGAAGTTATTTTATAAATATAGGTGCTCCTCTATTATGTGCATATATGTTTATCAGGGTTATATCATCTTGTTGGATCAACCCCTTTAATATTATATAGTGACCTTCCTTGTCTCTCATTATGGTCTTCATTTTGAAGTCTATTTTATCAGATATAAGATTTGCTACCCCACCATTTTTTTTCATCTACATTTGCATGGAAAACTTTTTCTATCCCTTCATTCTCAAACTGTGTGAGTCTTCTGTTCTGAGGTGGGTATCTTGTAGACAGCATATATTTGGATCATGGTTTCTTATCCATTCAGCCACCATCTGTCTTTTTATTGGAGCATTTAATCCATTTACATTTAAGGTTATTATTGGTAGATATTTATCTATTGCTATTTTAATTCTTTATTCCTATGTTTCTCTCGATATACATTTCTACTTCTAATTACAGCAGTTCCTTTAACATTTCCTGCAGTGCTGGTCTGGTGGTGATAAACTCCTTTAGCCTTTTTTTGTCTGGGAAGCTCTTTATTTCACCATCTATCTTGAATGATAATCTTGCTGGATAGAGTAGCCTTGGTTTCAGATCCTTGTTTTGCATTACCTTGAATACTTCATGCCATTCTCTTCTGGCCTGTAGAATTTCTGAGGAGAAGTCAGCTCACAGACTTATGGGAGCTCCTTTGTAGTTAACAGATTGCTTTTCTCTTGCTGCCTTTAAGATTTTCTCTTCGCCTTGAAATTTTGGCATTTTAATTATGATGTGTCTGGGTGTGGGTCTCTTTGGATTCTTCTTGCTTGGGACTCTCTGTGCATCCTGAACTTGTCTGACTTTTTCCTTTACCAGGTTAGGGAAGTTTTCTGCCAACATTGCTTCAAACAAGTTCTCTATCCCTTACTTATTCTCT